ATACATAGGTAAAACCAGTACCCACAGCGGCTTGCAGCCGCACCGTTGTACCTGCGCAGAATGTAAGGCTGCCCACCACCGTCAGGGTTGCCGATGGCACTGCAGACACCAGTACCGGGATACCAGGGTCCAGCGTATCCGAACAACCGGTTGTTGTATTGGCGACAATCACCGCATAAACACCGGAAGTATTGGCGCTGTAAGTATTCGTTGTGGCGCCGGCTATCAGGGCCGTGTTGCGCAGCCAGCTATAGCTGAGGCCCGTACCCGTATTGGCTGTAAGCGTTACACTACCACCCGTACAGAACGTTGTAGGCCCGCCCGCTGTTGCAGTAGCTACCGGTACCGGGTTGACCGTGATATTCACTACCGAAGAGGTATCACCACAAGAGCCGTTAGAAAGTACCAAACGGTAAGCGCCCTGCGCCGATGCCGCATAAGTATTGCTGGTGGCACCTGCTATATTGCCGCCGTTTATTTGCCATTGGTAAGTAACACCCGTGGCCGGTGCCGGGCCGGACAGCAGGACACTGCCGCCCTGGCAGAAAGCAGCCGCCCCCGATGGAGAGACCGTAGCTACCGGCTTTGCCAATATATTTACGGTAGTTACCGCTGAGGTATCTTCACAAGTACCATTGGAAACGAGTACCCGGTAAGTGCCACTAATACTTGCAGTATACGTTGCGGTGTTGGCTCCGGCGATATCTGCACTGTTACGTTGCCAGCGATAGGTAAGACCGGTTCCTGTATTGGCATTGAGCGTTACTGTGCTGCCCGTACAAACAGAAGCCGTACCCGATGGGGTGACACTGGCCGTGGGCCGTGGCGACACCGTAGCAGTGATCACATTACTGGTCACTGTAGCCGCACTGGCACAAGCGGCATTACCCGTCATCACTACCGAAATCGCATTGCCTGTTATCAGCGCATTGTCTGTATAAGTGGTGCTGCTGGTACCTACATTGGTTGTTCCTTTCTTCCACTGGAAGGTGGGCGCCGCACCGCCATTGGTGGCTGTTGCGGTAAAGGTTACCGGTGTACCCGCACAGATCGTACCCGAAGGACTGGCTGCAATGCTGATGGTGGGGGTTACCGCCGGATTGACCGTGAAATTGAATGTCGCGCAACCGGTGGCATCGCCGGCTGCATTTTTAGGCACCACCTTCCAGGCATAAGTGCCTGCGGCTACCGTGGCATTATACGTGGTTCCTGTCTGGTTGGCCGAGACAACGGTTGTTGCCGTGGCGCCTGTATTCAGGTAAACATCATAACCCGTAGCACCTGTTACTGCCGGCCAGCTCAGGGTGGTTGCACCGGCACAGATACTGGCTGCGTTGGCCGGGGCTGTTGGTGCAGTTACACAAGCCGGAACCGTTGGTGTACCGCTGTTATAGGTGATCTGTATAAATGGACGCCTATTGTCCATGGTCACATTATTAAATGTGCTGGAGAGGCTATTGCTCAAGGTGCTGCCGCCATTCCCGTAGATCCGGTCGACGACCGTAGACCACACCCAGTCAAAAGAGCCGGTAGCCAGGACAGCGGTTGTACTTGTGGCATCCCATTCCACCATTATTTCCACGGAGCCGCCCGTATAGGTAAAGGAAGTGTTTAATGGAAAATTGATATAAGCAGGGCTGGCGGTAGCAGGAATGAGCTGGTTTAGGTTTTCATAGTTCAGGCTGGTACCTGCATTTAAATTGGTCCAGGTCTCCGTTGCATTGGCATAACTGGCAGTGGAGGAGTTTTTCATATAGATCCGGAACTTCCCGCCAACTAATGAGGCTGC